TTTCTTTCTTTCCGTCTAACACAAAGAATTCGACGTGTAAAAGAGAAACAAACTACTACAACAGCAGAAGGAAAAATAAAAAAAAAGAAAAAAATAAGAAAAAAATAAGAAAGAAAAGAGAAAAGAAAATAAAATAAAAGAATAAAAATTCTTTTGTCTTTATTACGATGAGAAAAAGAGTTTTGAAACGTTTTAAAGCAGAGAAAAAGAGGTAGAGAGAGAGAGAGAGAGAGAGAGAGAGAGAGAATGAGTGAGAGAGAGAGAGAAAAATTGAGTTGCCAACATTTTCATTTACCATTAAAATTCTCCAGCAGGTTTAAAATGAATAAAAAAAAAATTTTTTTTTTTTCCCGGTAACTTTTCTTTCTTTTTTTTGTTTTTTTCTACGTTATGAGGAAGTAGGAAGGGGGGGAAGTAATAAGGAAAGAAAAGCTTTAACGTCTATTTCCAATATATATATATATAAATAAATATATGAAAAAAATATTATAATAATAATATTATTTTATAGTTATTATATATATGTATATATATATATATATACCTCCTTTAAATGGAAAAAGGAAAAAAAAATTGGGAAAAGTAATACTATGTTGTTATTATTATTATTATTATTATTATTATTATTATTATTTTATTATTATTATTATTATTATTATTTGAAATGGTTATTTTTTATATTTATATATAAAATTTAAATATGGAATTCCTGTTGTGCATCAACATGGGAATTAAATGTTTATAATAAAAATAAATAAATAAATAAATAAATAATAAAATTTTACATTCGTTGAAAGGAAAAAAAAAAAAAGTTATTGACTTAGAATTTTTTTTTTTTATGTATTTTATAAACTATTACTACTTCTAATATTATTATTATTTTTTTTTAAATATAAGGAAAGGAAAAAAAAATATCGAAGAACGACAGAGTGAAAGAGAGAGAGTGAGAGAGAAAGAGAGAGAGAGAGAGGGAGAGGGAGAGAAAAATTTTAAAATTAAATACGTCGCGTTTGAGTGCGTACGTGCGTTTTCACGTATATGTTTTTATTATGCGAATAACGTCTGGAATTTTCCTTTAACTCCGGGAGCAGGATATCAATTTTTATTTTATTATACTTATATGTAATTTAATAGTTAAAAGAAATTTTTAAAGGGAGGGAGAAGCGGGGGGCGGGGAAAAGGGGAGGATAGGGGGAAAGGGGGAGGAGAGAAAAAGATTTGTGCCGGGTAGAAAAATTTAACGTCGTAATTTTTTTTTTTTTTATGGATTTTAATTTTCAACACTTAATTTTAGTTTTTTTCAAAAGGAGTTTATTATTAATGCCATTATTATTAATATTATTAATATTATTATTATTATTATAAAAGTTAAATTTAAATAAATAAAATGCCAATAAGTGAGTAAATAAATTTTTTTTTTTTAAAAACGGGGTTGATATTATTAAATAGAGTCAATGACCTACCATTACGCAAGATCATCGTTTTTGATTTTGTCGTGATAATAATAATAATAATGATGATGATAAAAAAAAAACGATTGAAAAATAGAATTTTTTAAATTACGTACATGAGAAAATTCCTAGAGCGATACGGGGGGCGGGGGGAAAAGAATTTTTTTTTAATGATTGAAAAAAAAAAAAAGAAAAAAAAGGTTTTTGGACACACAATTTAATTTGTAATTTTCAACGTTAACTGGAATCTGGTTGGAAAAAAAGAAAAATTTTTTTTTCTTAACAGTTTTTACGACTGGAAAAAAAGAATGATGATGATGATGATGATAGTTTTCGAAACGTTTCGGACGATGATTCGATTTTGATCTCTCTTTTTTTACCTTTTTTTTTACTTTTTTTTTTTATCGTAATTTTATTTTATTTTACTTTATTTTTTTTGATAAGAAGTTCAATGACATTTTTTTTTCAAATCGATAATCGATACCGTATAAATATCAATTAGTTAATGTTATTGTCAAAATGGGGAAAAAAAAAAAAAAAGGATTTATGAAAAAACAAATTTTTTTTTTTTTTTTTAACGAGGGAAATCTTTTCAAATTCGTTATTTTTTTAAATGATAATAATAATGGCGGAAAAAAAAATGGCGTTTGAATTTATTTATGTAGGGAATCCAAATAAAATAAATATAAATTTTAATTCTTATTAACATATAGAAAATAAATTGCGTGATGAATTTAAAACCCAAATTTCACTTTCGATACAAAAAAAAACTTTTTATACAAAACAAGAATTTTTTTCTCCCCGTTGAATTTTAATCCATTAAAATCTTGATATTTCTACCACAGAGCAAAAAAACAGAAGAAAATGAAATTCAAATTCAAAAAGTAAAATTTATCCAATAGGAAATATTAAAATTTTTTTTTTTTTTTTTTTTTTCGGAATAAATTTTCTCATGGAGATTTTTTTTTCT